AAAAAATAGAAAAAACAAGTGAAATAGAGTGCACATTTGTGACACGGGCACTATGCACGTGTCAGAGGCCGTGGCACCTCAATAGAGACATTCCGAAGCCCAGCGACCTGACACGTGCAGCAACACAGACGGTGGCATGGACAGAGTGGTCGTGTCGCGCGCGCAGACTATTTTTCATATCTTCTCTATTTGGCAAAAGACAAGCATTTTAGACATTACAAAAAGCATATTTACCCTATTTTGAGAGGGGAGAATGTGAATACGTAAGGAGAGGAGCCCTAGAACACACAAGAGAAGAAATTGGGAAGCAAAAAGAGGATTAACTACAAAGGGATCAAGAAGATTGGGAGATCAACGAGATTCCTAGTTTTTCTTTCTTCTTCCTTTTTAACTTTAATTATATCATGTCGATTTCTAATATTTCTATGTATTTGAATTCGAAAATTATTGGCTAGATTATTTGATTCTAAGACTTGGTAGTATATAAATATGTTGGGATATTGGATGATTTATTTATAATTAATTACTTTTCGTTTGAACCCTATTCAAATATTTTGTTCTTATTTCATGTTTAGCACTTGGCCAATGTTTTACATGTTTGATAATATTGTCCATAATTCGAGAGATGAGTTTAATATTAGTTTTTTAATATTTGACACAATTTACTTGCTTGAATTGAGAGATTAGTAGGTCGTTGTGAGGATATTAGATCTTTTAATCTATTTAGAGTTGAATTGCATGTGTTGAGTGGTGACGCTAATATATATGATTTAATCTACAGTTTTATCGACCCCGAGAGAGACGGTAAGCTACGTTTGTGACCGTCTTATAGGGTAGATAAAGAAAACATTTAGTTGTGGTATTTCTGAATAATCCTAACTGTTAATTGAACCCACTGTCTTAGAATCTATCATTCTCATATATTTTCTTACGTGTTTTTCTTGCTAGTTCTTTATTTTTTTGCTTTATTTCTTTGATCTATTTTCTTAGTTTAGTTAATTATTCTCATATTCGAGCGTCTAAATATAGTTGACACTATCATAATCTTGTACTTGATATATTAATTATTTGGTCCCTTGGGATACGACCTTTCTTGCCACATACTACGAGTGAAGCCATACACTTGCGGTTGAGCTTTAAAAATATAGGCGAACAAGTTTTTGGCGTCGTTGTCGGGGACCAATATAATTATTTATATCAATATTATGGTAGATAGTGTTGGTTTAAATTTATACATTTTTCTTATTTCTTACTATCATTTTTTTCTTTTATTTATTTTTTATGATTGACGAGGATGCGATAGACTATGATTGGTGCAATGATCCCAAATACTCGGAAGAAGATAAAAAGTGGTATGAGGAGTGTTTGATCTATCGGTTGGAAGAGCTTAAAAAGGTTGAGTTGGAGTCAAAGCGTCGTAGGAGAGAACTCAAGGAAAGAGGCATTGGGTGTGATGAATGTGGTTTGATGTTGTCACACACACCGAGAAATTGTCTTTTTTCTAGTTTACCTCCTATATCACAAAAGGAGCTCGATTACATTCCTCCATGCTTTTTGTCATAAGATAGTGCGCCAGAAATTTCTATCGTTATCGAAGAACATGAAGAAGAGAATGATGTTATCTTTGAAGCTAAATCCCCAAAATTTACTCTCACTGAAGGGATGATTCAAGAGAAGTTTTTCAATTCTGAGTGTTTAAAAGTTGAATTTATTATTCCATGTTGATATGGGATATTATATACTAGACCGGTTCGGAGGACACTCCAAACAGAGTAGC